CCACCATATTCTCCAGACCTGGCACCATCGGATTATTATTTGTTCCGGTCACTCCAAAATTTTTTAGACGGTAAAACCTTCACCTCAAATGAGGAGGTCAAAAACCTCCTCGATCAGTTTTTTGCCAGCAAAGACCAAAAATTTTATGAGCGTGGAATTATGCTACTACCAGAAAGATGGCAAAAGGTGTTGGACCAGAACGGTCAATGTATAATTTAATAAAGTATTTGTTTATTATACGAAAACTGTCTTTCATTTCCACAAAAAAAAAACGAAATGACTCCGAACAACCCGATAGAAATTCGAAAAAGATTGTTAATAGGATATTATGTCTAAAGTATGGCTCTGTACAAGTGCGAAACGTAGACGGTAGGTGTGGCAGTAAACAAGGGGTGTTACAGAAATTAATGAGAAATAGCACCTTCTCAGGCTGCGAAAGATTAGCTCAAGATAGGAAAGAGTGGAGGTGGTTGTCCAATGAGTTTTATGACTGGTGGCCTATGATGATGTTGATGATACAATTCAACAACATTTAGGACTCCTACTTTAAAAATACACTTATCATGAAATACATCATACGAAGGATTAATAACAAAAATATCTTGAAAATTAGGTGCTTAGTAGACACATTATTAATTAAACTAATATTAAGCACCATTTTAGATATCCCATCGTTTAATATCAATTCCTTGTTTACTAACTCATTTTGGATAGGATTGCTTGACATTATTGCCAAATATATTGTTAGTTTAATTTCATTGCATTGACAATAACCTTTTTAACTGGTGCAATTCCATTCTATATTGTAATAAAGTTCGCAGTAGGTGGTAGTTTTATTTTTATTTTGTTGTGGAAAACTTTCTGCCATACCAAGGCTTTACAGCTGTTTCCTGTAACTCTAAACGTGTAATTTGAACGTAGCCTATTGCATATAATTATGGCTAATAAATTTTTGCCTGCAAATTAAATCCATTTAATTTCATTAGAATGTTGAAGTACAACTAAAGTACTACGTAATAGATGCATTCTAATTTGAATAAGTGAGCTGTTGCACCCCCTTGAATTTTTAATCAAATCATACCAACGAACCCGAAGACCGAGTGTAAAAGTTAAAAATAAGTTTAGATATTCATGGTGTTTGCCAGCCCTTTGGTTGGGCAATGCCTATTCGCCATGAATGAGCAAAGTCAGGCCTTAATATTACGGAGGAGGTAGGGAAAGCTATATTTTGAACGTCTTCAATGCCACATTGTACCTAATTATTATTGAGAAAATTTTGATTTTGCTCTACCTGCAGTCACATAGTGACTAATTGTGTACCTAGATAGATTTCACTAGATGCATATGGTCAAAAAATAGCAGTTAGAGATAGAAAATAAGCAGTTAGACCTACCAATTTTGAAATTACGAATACCCTATGTAAACTACCCTCAACCGCCACTACAACTACGTATTTATTTTGGTTGTAAAAAAAGTGATATTCATCTGAAATAGGTCAAGATAATTTGAAATATCAGGGACGAAGGGATTATGAAGGAAAAACCAAATAATTGTTTACACATTACAACAGTACAGTGTAGTTTTATCGTAATCGGTTATTTTGTCAGCTTTTATCTTTTCTATGTATTATGTACATATAAACAGTGGAGACGGAATCAACTGTTCAAATATTTGCTCACACAAATGCAAAAAAAGGTACCTATAATATAATACGATAGTTATAAAACGCATTTATCTGTAGAAAGTAAATCCTATACAATGTCTACCTCCACATCATAGGATTTCATGTACGAAGATATTTTCATTACGAGCCGCGTAATTAATTTGTGTTGCCTCCGAATAATTTTTTAATAGTAAATTTTAGTTGTGGTAATTAATGGAAGGAGTTCTCTATACATTTATGTTTTTTTAATAAGAAATGTTAAAGGAATAGCTGCTCTAGGTGTAGAACCAGATTTTAAACATATAATAAGCAGTGCATGAATTTAAATGAACGTAAAACATGAATGTTGGTATGCAAGGAAAGAAAAAGTAGGGAAAGAGTAGATTAGAGACGAAAAATTAAAAGAAGTCGCTGATTTTCAGTATCTAGAAATTGAAAATGGAAGGAGTACTCATCATCATCATAAGGTCGTCAGTCCTACAACTGGTTGGACACGCACCTCCACTCCTTCCTATCCTGAGAAAAAGGACCTCTTAGACTTTACAAACATTGACTTACTATCTCCCTATCCCTACCACCAAGTTAAAATCACGTAGAATTACCGCTTTTACGAAGTTGAAAGATGAATCCCTACTTACCTACAAAGCATTTCAACAAACACTAGACAATCTTATTAAACTAATGCCCGTTCTTTTAAGAGATAGCAAGCCTCATCATCAAGGTCGTCAGTCCTAAGACTGGTTGGACACGCATCTTCACTCCTTCCTATCTTGAGTTAATCCTCGCATTTCCCTAAAACTAGAACAACCCACATTCTTAAGTATTTGCGACAGTAATCTAATCTAGGTCTACCTCTACCCCTCCTAACTTCCGTTTCTTCCTCTTATATGTCTCTGACTAGACCTTCATGCCTGAGAAAGTGTCCTACTAACCCATCTCGCCTATTTCTTATTGACTTCCATAGAGTCCTCTGTTCTCTTACTCTTTCTAATACCTCTTCATTTCTAACCTTCTCAATCAACGGTATCCTCATCATTCGCCTGTAACACCGCATTTGGAAGAAGCACTAGAGACATAAAACAAATGATAGCGCAAAAAAGAGCCACTTTTATGCTCACGAATTGTTAATTTAGAAATTCCAAAGAGATTGTTAATGAAATGAGATGTTAGAAAAAGTAGGAGAACAGAGGGCGCTTTGGAAGTCAATAATAAGTAGGCGGGGTAGGTTGGTAGGACACCTTCACAAGCATGAAGAGAGGGATAGAGGTAGACCTAGATTAGGTTAGATTGCTGTTCACAAATAGTTAAGAATGTGGGATGTCCTATGTTTAGGGGATTGCGAAGATTAACTCGGGATTAGGAAAGAGGGGAGCTATGTGTCCTAATCAAATTTTGGTTTCTTACAGAAATAATTTACTTTTACATAACATTTTTCAATTTTCATATTTCTTTCGACAATTTAAATTTTTTTTTTCCAATCCGGCCTAGGGGTAAAAACAGTTGGTATGTCTGGTCTAGGCGGAATTGAAAATAACGATTTATTCTTGTTCGCTGCGACATAATATGCATTATGCATATGAGCAATCCTTCCGAATTAATGGCAGGATACTATCGACGTTAAGAACAATTCTTTTTTTTTTTTCTTGTTAATAACCTGTCTAGCATAACTAATGACATCCTGAATTTATCACTCTATACATTTTGTTTAATGGTTGGTTACTTATAAGCAGTATATTTACGATTATCGCTAATCGAAAGTAATTGTTCACAAGTGTATTATTTTAGAATTATTGAGAGAAACTTCAGTCGTATTTGTAAGAGAATTAATTAAATTAAAAGACCCTGCTTGATCCTTAGGAAACTTTGTGAAACTTACTTTTGAGATATGGTTCCTTAGACTTGAACGTAATCAATGCGTACAATAGGTAATAATTGTACCCTTGAAAGTCCTTGTGGAAAAATGCAACTTTAAGGGACCATTTTTACGACTTAGCGTCCATTAAGGCTTCTCCTCTATACGTCGACAACTACCAGAATCTAAATTTTCCGTAAGGATCTAGCGGAATCCTTTGAAAGTGCGCCACTCTAAGGTAATAAAAATAAATAAGTAAAATTGCAACGATTATATGTAAACTGTCGTAGAAGCCGAAATATCATCGTCGGGCTCATACATAACATATTGTAGCGAGCATCAGTGTGTTTGTGTGCGATCGGGCACACGTGTGCGTTAACGGCTTATCGATTCGCCGACTAGCCGCGGGCGCCTTTCTCAATGTGCGCCGCATTTCTAAATTTGTGTGTCGTACCTGCGTTCTGGGAAAGCAGTTAAACAGTTCAACGAAAAAATAAACTATCCGGATGTTCTCAGAAGGTTCCAGAAAGTAAACAAAAGAGTATTTAAAAGAAGAGGCGATCGCCGAAAAAGAAGAAATAAATTGACCGTTGCATAAGTGAATCCAGGAATAAATTGACATTGAATAGCAGTGAAATAAATAGCGCAGTGAATAGTGATATATCAACAGAGTAAATAAATAGAATAAATCATAACCTAAGTTTAGTAATTATTTAATAGTGTTTTTAAGTTCTTTAATAGTAAGTGTAAATAAATAGTTTTTGTCGTTATCAGTCTTAGAAGTTAATTTTGTTAAACCCACGAACATTACAATATAAAGGCGATTAGAAGAGTATTCGGTTTTTTGAAGTTACGAAATCATTAATGGAATGAATCAGTTTTTAATTGACATCTACTTAATTTGGTGCAAGACCATTCGCGATACTTTGTAGATGTCTTATTCTCACTTATGGATTTGTCTAAAACTTAATTTATGATAATAGGTACTCTAGGGTAAATTGAGACACGGAAGTCATTTTGTTTACAATGTGTGGTATTTACAACCACTTACGGATTATTAGGCAGAGCATTAAAACATGATGAGAGACATAAAATTTTGAAAGTGCCACTGAAGTTTTATGAAATATTAATATGTATAGTACCCAAAGTGTCATTAACAACTGCTTGTCACACTTACGTAGTAACCGGTATTAAAATTTACAGAATAGAAAACAACCACGTAGTTAAATAGTTTATTTAATTATTGTTGTTTCAAATTATTTTGCCGTGCAATATTTCGTTTGATACGATCTCAAACTGCTTTTAAAAAATAAAAATAAGTAAAAGTCGAAAATCGTCCTGCTAATTCAGTCAGTACGATTTAAAAGACATTTACAGGTACTTTTGACCAAAAATATTTTTGTTTTTAAATTTCTACAAATTCATAAAAATAATTTCCTATTAGTACATGTAAGTATTGTGGACTAAAGCTCTTTTTTGTTTCAGGTACGTAATGTGTAATAGAACTGATTGCAATTAGTCTTGTTCTTCCTGCTCATCGAAAGGTCGTAAGTCTGTTTTCTGTTTTTTTTTGTTTTATATTCTAAAATTACATAAATAGGTAAGGTAAAACGATCACTAGACCTAAAAAGATCGATGGGATTCTCGCGCCAAATGTATCGTATAAACCAGCGGTCGGGGAACTTTTTTAATCATTACCCCAAAATATTTTTGTGTAAGTTGATATTACCCCATGGCGAAGAGCAAAAAAAACGAAATCGCCTCTTTTTAACATTTTTCATATTATCCCCATGATAATTTTGAAAAGAAAACAATAACTAAAAATTTAATTTAGACATCATTTATTCAATTTATCTGTGTAATACCTAGTAATACATAACGGTAATAATAGTAATATACGAGGGTGGATTGATAAGTTTCCGGCCTAACCAAGAGATGACGCCACTAGGCCTACCTTGAGGTGACATTCTATAGTACCATCCTTGGATAGCTTGTAGCTATAGTTTCAGCCCGATCTCCTTGCTAG